GGCGTGATTAGCATTACGTCGAGCCCGGACCCTTTCAACCGTCCGTGAACAAAGTACAAATTCTTGATGTCGATTATGACACCATCACTGCTTCTTTAGTAGCCAAAGGTAACAGTCCCAGGCTGAAATCGGCCGCAAAATCGGCCAAAAGTTGTGACTTAATCGCAGTCCTAGGTTTATACTCTACGTCAAATTCACTCATTTTGACTTCCCACTTGGCCAGCCTACCTGAAAGTTCAGGTTTATGAAGGATATTCTGCAGGGGAAAAGTAGTCACCACGGCTATCAGATGACATTGAAAATAAGGCCTAAGCTTTCGAGCGACGACTACGAAAGCTAAGGCCAATTTCTCCAAATATAGGTAGCGAGTTTTTTCTCCCATTAAAATTTTACTAACATAATAGATAGTATATTGCGTACATTCCTTCTCATAGACTAGAACGACACTTACCGCCACCTCTGAGAACGCTAAACAGATCAACAGTTGTTTGCCTTCCTCTGGTTTTAACAGCAGTAGAGGACTCGACAAATACCTTTTAAAATCCTTCAAAGCCCGCTGATATTCCGGAGTCCATTCAAAGTTGTTCTTCTTTTTTAGAAGTAAAAAGAAGTGATGGTTTTTTTCTAAGACTGGGAAATAAATATGCTTAAAACATCCAATTTTCTTATCAACCTTTAAACCTCTTTCACACTTGATAGCTGGTCAGGAATGTCTTTGGTGGCTTTAATTTTATCGGGGTTGACTTCAATCCTCATTTGCAACACCAGGAACCCCAAGAACTTACTAGAGCTGACTCTGAACGCACACTTCTCGGGGCTAAGCTTTATGTTATGCTTTCTTAGGATGTCAAAGGTTTATTGTAAGTATTTAAGATGATCATCTGCTCAAAGATTTAAGCAACATATCATCTATGTAAACTTCCATTGTTTTTCCTATTTTCTTCTCAAACATCTTGTTTACGAGCAACTGATAAGTGGCTCTAGTGTTTTTTTAACCCGAAAGGCATCACATTATAACAATATGTGTCGAAGTTTATTATGAACGAAGTTTTTTCCTGATCCTTCGGGTTTATCTTGATTTGGTTATGCCTGGAGTAAGCATCGAGGAAATTCATTAACTCATGCCCGGCCGTGCATCGATCATTTGATTAATGTTTGGCAATGGGAACGAGTCTTTGAGGCATGACTTATTTAGATCCTTATAGTTTACGCACATGCAAAATTTATTCTTCTTCTTTGGAACAACTACTACGTTAGCTAGCCAGTCAGGATACTTTATCTCTCGGATTGAAGCAATATCAAGCAAACGAGTTACCTCTTCTTTGATGAATTTGTTTATGACCCCGACAATAAGACTTTTTTCTACCTTACCGGAAGGATGTTAGGATCCAGGCTTAGTCTGTGCACAACCACTTCTGGCAGCATACCGGTCATATCCGCATGCGACCATGCAAAAAAATCAATGTTAAATTTAAGAAATTCAATAAATCCAGACATGAACTCGAGGTTTTATTCTGTCCCCAAGTGGAGCTTCCTCTCTAAGAACTTTTCGAACAACGCGACTTGCTCAAGTTCTTTTGCTATGGATTTTGTTGCCCCTGTTTCTTCTGATACCTGGAAATATTTTGGTACCTGATAGGATTCCGACTCCTCCTCCCCCCCTGGTTGACTTCACTCGGCTCGGGAGTATGTGTTGATTCCAATAATTACTATGCTGCTTGCTCCTTCCCTTTGCTACTGGAAACTGAAATTGCATTCATTTACCTTGTTGCCGGTTGATCACCTCTTATTTGTTTAATTCCCTCGGAAGTTGGGAATTTCAATAATTGATGATATATTGATGGTACAACCTTAATTTCGTGCAACCACAATCTCCCCAGGATAATATTATAGCCCACATCATCATTTACTACCTCGAAAAGGGTCGCTTTTATTACCCTTTTGGCATTTGTAGGCATAAGGATCTCTCTCCGAGTCGTCACGCTTACTAGATTGAACCCGGTGAGGAGTTTTGTGGCCGGAATGATACTTCCAATCAGCTTGTCTTGCTCCAGCACTCACTACTAGATAATATTGGCCGAACTTCATGGGTCCACCAAAACATATTTAATTTTAAAATATAAGATATTCAAAGAGATTACCAAGGCATTGTTGTGCGGCAACAGTAGTCTGTCTGCGTCTTCCTCCGTGAAATAATGTCGTCCTCAGCTACTTTGCAGAGTCTCTTACTGTGGGTTACTGACACCTTCGTCATTTTTGTCGCCGAAAATATCACACCATTAATCTCGTTCCCCCCAAATCATGTTGATAGTCAAACGTAAAGGATCTTCTCCTACTTTCAAAAGTTCCGTGTTATCATGATTGTGGTCGTAGTTGTTTTTAGCCTAGTCGCTTAAGAATTCCCTAAGATGGCCATTTTTCAGCAATGTTGCCACCTCCTCGCGCAAATGCCGATAGTCTCTAATCCGGTTACCGTTGGTTCTATGATATTCACACCACAAGTTAGGATCCATCTAACTAGAATTAGATCTTATTGGTTTCGGGAACTGTGCTTCCTTAATGTTACTTATAGCCGACACTAGCTCAGTTACACTAACGTTGAAGTTGTATTCGAAAGCCTGGGGTACGAGGAATATCGGGAACCCGATATCTCCTTGTCCTGCAATGATATGTTATTCCGGTCGCGATCAACTCTTTTATCGGTAGCGAATATATCTGCCGATCGGAAACCTCTGCCGCATCCTTCGGCCCTTTTATAAGGCAAAAACCAACCTCTTGAAGACCGCTGATGTGTGTCAAAATCATCATTTGACTTTTTATTGTTCTTCTCCTGGTCCCGACCCTTGGTTGATGCTGGGTAACCGAGCTGATCATCCTTAATTCTTATCTTCGACTCATACCGGTTGTGAACGTCTACCCATATCGTTGCCCGAAACTCAACAAGTCTTTCTTTTAATTTTTAGGAAGTTTCGGAACTTCTTGGATTCAGCTCTTTAGTAAATGCCTCAACTTCCCATTCGTCCGGTACATTCGGGAGCAATATCCTTTCTTTCTAGAATCTGGTCACGAACTCCTGCAACAATTCAGACTCACCTTTTGTAATCCTGAATATGTCGGCCTTTAAGGCATGTATCTTTCTGCCCCCGACATGGGTCTTAATAAAAGAATCTGCGAGCATCTCAAAGGAATCTATTGAGTGCTCGGGCAAGAGCGAATACCATGTTAGGGCCCCATTGGAGAGGGTCTCCCTGAATTTCTTCAGTAGGACTAACTCAATCTCGTGTGTAGTTAAATCGTTCCCCTTTACCGCCATCATATATGTGGTGATGTGCTCCTGAGGATTCGAAGTCCCATCATACTTCGGCACGTCTAGCATTTTGAACCACCCCGGGATCAATTCTGGTGCCGCGCTTGGTTTGAATGACAACTATGTATATTTCTTTTGAGTCCGGTCCTTTCAACACTGGTGGTACGCCCAGAATTTGATCCATTCGGGCATTTATTTCCCTCATAAACCACATGAGTTCTATTTTAAAGATATCATTCTCATTGTTGTTACCAGATTCGCTATCGTTCCCCCCGACCCTGTCGAAACCGACTTCGCCCCTCGGGGTGTTGTTGTCGACCCTCTGCGTTGTTTGGTTTAAGGAAGCACCGGGAGGAACTGGACCTCATCCATTCGCTTTGTTGGAAGCTCCCGACAACGCCTGCTTCAACTCCATCATGACCTGATACTGTCGTGAGAAGTGGCTCATAATGCTTTTTGTTGCTCCCTCATGATCCTTACTGTTTCAACATCGTGCTCTTCTTCAGCATCATCAGGAGTTGCCTCTCAAACATGTCGTGGATATTGCTCGCCATGGACCGGCGTCGCCTTATCCCGCTTGTTGCAGGTATCACTAATCGAATCTTCGTGCTGAGGCTGATTTCCTTGGGCCTCAACGTTGTGTGCGATGTTAACATCGTTATCTGCCATTTTATAATTTTTGCTAAGAACAAAGAATTAAACAGGTTAGTAATAGATGCAAGGATCAACTCAATTACAAAACCGTCTAAGTCCCACGGTGGGCGCCAAACTGTTTACCCATAAAACGGTACAATTGAATTTATACGTAGTTTATAGATAAGTGAATCGATTTGATCCCAAAAATGATAAATATATTAAATAAGAATGTAAGACTTAGCGTTGAAATCAAGGTAAGACAACTGAAATCCTGTTTTCGGGAGTAGAGCTTCCGGAGGCAACAATAACAATATTAATAAGCAAGAAGAAAAAATATTTTTGAGCTTTGAATAGTTTATAGCATAAGTTTGTCAGAAAATTCCTCATTACAATTGCTGTTGAGCTCACTATTTATAGTTGCACCTAAGGAACAAGGTCCTAGGATCAAGCTCCTCTTAAATGACAATTATGGGGGCCATTGAAGAATGTGTAATGAAAAGCAGAGAATGCCATATTCTCTGTAACAGACTACATACTTAATGCTATAGAATATTCTCTATTAAATGCTACCGGTGTCAGACATTTATCTCGTCTTCATGAACATCATTCCATTCGGAAACAAACGTGATTATTACCTTCGGATCTGATTGCCTTCTACATTCGGCTCAACATATCGCCTTATTATGCAAGCATTAAGTATGAACGTACCACGAGATTTTCCAAAAGAATAATTCAGGAAATCATTGCTACATTCCTTGATGAGTATAGAACAATTGAAATAGAAGGAAGAAAACAAAATAGCTAATTAATGAAGGAAAAGATAGTTTTTAGAACTTTCTATTTCCTTGTTTGCTTTGACAAGAGAAAAGAGAAAGTTACCTAGAGACAAAGAAACAATATTTTTTGTCCACTACATATATTTTTCTTTAAAGAGGAAATAAAATAAATAGAGAATGATGAGACAAATAAATACACTTTTCTCATTAACTCCTCATTTCTTCTACATTTCCCTAAATGCAAAACACAGAAAAATTAAAACAAAAATAACACCAATATAAAGAGAAAAGAATGAGGTTGAAATTAGTAGCAGCTAAAATCTCCTCTTATCTGAGCTCGCAAACAGCACCTGTCCTGTAAATCAGCAGGGCAGCCTTATTATTCGACTCCCATGGCCATTTCTGCACCTTATTTATTATAAAGAACAATCCCTTGGAAATATTGGCCCATTAATTCAGCAGCAGAAAAGAAGACATGGCCTTAGTCCACAATTCCCAAGTTTTCTCTTCTTTTCCAGCAATCAAGTCTGGCCCATATCCCAAAATCATGAAATCGAGGACTCTCAAAATCTCAGCTTCAGAAGATAAGCCTCAGAACCAGAAGGCTGAAACTGATCCTGTGAAGCTTGCATTTTTAAAAGCTAAGGCTTACAAGAAAGAAACTAAATTAGCTAATGATAGTGATGATAAAGTGGTGTCTTCAGCTGATAAACTTGCATTGGACACTAACACTCTACAAGAAAGTGAGCCAAATATCTTCTTACTTATTTACCTATCTTTTTTCCAGAATTATTCACTTTACTCTTTTCAATAGTTAAACTTGAGAAAAGTTTCCACCCTCTAGTTATTTTATTCAAATGATTAATATATTCTCGTAAATATTTTTTTGTAGAAATTAGTAAGCTAGACCTAGAAAACCTTCAATATGGAGTTGTGAAGGAAGTAATTTTTTTTTTTTTTAAAGTTTAGTGCAATATGGATGTGCTTAGCATTTTATATTGTGTGATTTTCTGTTAACTGTAGATGGATTCTATGGATATTGTAAACCATGGTTAAAGGATGTAGCTTAAGATACTGTTAGTAGTTTGATCAAGATTATTAAGGGTTGTTTGGTTGGGGAGATTAAAAAAATAATCCCAACATGAAATGACATAATGCTTGGTAGGAGGGATTATGAAAAATAAATTCATTCGTGACTAATGCAGTGTTTGGAAAAATAATACTAATGCATTGTTTAGTTAGCGGTATAGGATAATACGCGTATTAAATTGTGTGAGAACCTACGTATTATTTATGCGAGATAGAACATGAAATAAGAATACATGTATAAGTAATATAGAGATTAGATAATATCTGCATAACATTCTCTGACTTGCTATTCTTTAGGTATAATATTCCCTTCATTGTTATTCACCCCCATAAAAATAATCTCAGCAACAAGTGAACCAATGACCCTATAGACTTTGATTGTTATGCAAAAGATAAGGGCTTTATTATCCTTCGTTTGGTGCATCAACATTATCCTGCAGCATTCTTGAAAATGAAACTAGAAACAAGTATGAAATTATGTAATCTGAGTTGTATTCCACTGAAAGCTGTGAATATTTTCTGTAGGATCAAATAAAGGGAATGGGGAAAGTGACATAAATGCCTTACCCAAAAAAAGTGTTAGTAAGAAGGAAAAGTTGATGATCTCAAGTAGTGATTTCGTGGGGCTTGGTTTTTCTGATAAAAAGCAAAGCAGGGGACTGCCTGCTGGATTGGTTCCAATAGTAGACTCATTCCCTGAAGGAAACTTGCCTGATGTAGAGATACTTGTTGGGGATACAAGCAAGTTTGTGGATACCGAGACATCAAAGTCAAACCGCATCCGAGAAGATGACACGAATACCTATAAGCCGAAGATTTCCACGTGGGGAGTTTTCCCCAGACCAAACGACATCTCAAAAGCTGTAGGTTGCCTATTATGACTTGCACTTCAGCTTTTTGTTATGCACTGTCTTCTTATTTAGTATGTTTTGTTGTATAGTTATCTACTATGATTTCATGGAAATAGCAGCTTTTGCTGCTACTGTAGGATATGTTTATTTGAATGTTTTCTAGTGCAATTAGAAGTTAATGCTTACTTTGATATGCCTGAGTTCAATGCTTTATGGATTAGCAGTAGGTTAATTTTAGTACTAACTCCCAATTCCAGAACTTCACTAATTTGACTAAGATTCTTCCTAAGACAGAAAGTTACTCAAAAGTGAAACAGTAAATGCAAGTACAATGAAAAGATATACATAGAAAGCTAAGCAAAACTGGATAGATGATATCGTATTTCAATCCTCTCCAAAAAAATAACAGGCTCATTGTTTGGAAAATTAAGTTTCTTCAGTTTCTTGCATTATGTTGTAAAACAATCTGTTTGTCCAGGGTATTTCAAAAATATGTGTAGCATTTAAGTCGGGGTTTTTATTGTTGCAATTATCTGGGGCTATGATGTGTAGTGCAATACAATTGACCATTACATGCATTTTTAATGATGGCTGGATCCCTGTTGATAACTCCAGTTGCAGCAGTGGAGAAAGTAATGAAGTTAAGCTTCAGGTCAGGAATCATTTAGAAGAGAAGTGGTAAAAGTAGAAAAGATGTAGTATCCTATATAGAATATCATAAGAACATCGAGTGACCTTCTTTAGACTGTAAAAAAAAAATGCAATGTGCACTATCCAGTGTTTAATTGTAGTTCTGTTCAAAACAGGCATGCAAAATGATAGTTTACTCATCTGGTTAATATTGGAAATAAGTGGGTTGAGAGCTAATAAAAAGAGGTTTATATAGTCAGTTGTTTTCTGTTTTATGAGGATATTACACACACATATTGTAGATTGCTGATGACGAGTACATGAAAGGTTTCAGGAAATTGGCACTCAACTTCATCCATGCATGAAACCTTATTCTTTTTGCAGTTAAGAATGACAAGCTGTATTATGCTTGACTATGCCTCTCTCTATCAAATTTTTAATTTCTCTGAATACCATGATCTCTTGAACTAATGAATGTAGTTATTTATGCAAAACACTATGAATAAACTTATTGCTTGTTTGGAGCTTAGTTCGGCGGTGGAAGAACTTTACGTCCAGGAGAGGCTCTGGAATCAGCAGAAGAGAAAGCAGCTAAAGAAGCACGTACAAGGGAGCTACTTGCTGCCTACAAGAAAAGAGTAGGCCTAAGCATTGATCCAAACATAAAACTTGAATGTGAGAAGGTATAGTTTAACTGCTATTATTATTCTTTATATCATGATTCTTAATGCATCAGATTTCTTTCATTAAGGAAAAATGCATTTAATTTGCTTCTTATATTGATCATGAGAGCTGATGCAGAATTCTCATCAGTTATTCACAAGTTTTCACTTTTCAGCATATAAAAGCTGTTGTATACCATTCCCAGTTCCATGAATTGGCATGTTCTTGGCGGCTTGATTCGATAAACACCAGGCTTGTTAATTCAAGTAGTGGAATTAAATGTTTTTGCCAATCATTTCTACTTTGAATACACATAAAGCAGAGTCTGATTTTGAAACGAAGAGGGGTATCTTGTTACGTAGTCAGTCACTTAACTGAATGAGGAAGAATTGATAGTTTTTGGAGGGTTGGTACTGATGTACTCCTTATTTTCACAAATCCATTTAGATGGACTGAAATTAAAGGTTTTAAGACTTGGAAATTATATCATCGCCATGCATTTTCAAAAAAATTATATCATTGCCATGGCCCTTGGTGATTGGAGATAAATTCACATTACCATCAGGCGGAGTTAGAGAACCTCAGGGATATTGGCCTTCAGACTCATTACAACTTAAGCACACCTACCAAGCAGTGTAATTTTCCTCGATTAGATGATGCTTTGGATCTCCACATTCCAGTAGTTAATTAGATATGTTTGCACACTCAGGCAATTGTAGATTATATTTAATTGGGCCATGAACGAGAAATAGTGAAGTTAAATGCTGGGATGTGGACAATTATTACATTAGGTCCCTAAGTAGTATGATTCACTCCTGAAGTTTCTACAACTGACATCTTTGTTTCTGCATTGGCGGGTCGTCTTGAATTAACTTTTAGCATTAAGGGTGCCAACATTTCATGTTCATGAGAAGCATTCTGACATGCACGACTGGTGCATATAAGATTGATTTTACAAAAAGCATGACATTACCGGCAAAACTATGGATAGAAAGACTCACAGGGTTTGGCAATGGGACGTGCGAAGAAAATGGAATGATATTGGTCTGAATTAGTTATTCTCTAGAACCACAAAGCCCAAAAAGTCCTCTATGGGTGACATGTCTTTCCATTTGTGTTTCTTAATGCATTTAAGAGGTTAGATGTGGTTTCATTTCCTGAATTTACAAGTGGCAAATAGACCAACGACTTGTCAACATGATTGAAATTGATTGAAGCACGCTTTTGTAAAATAGATTTACTCTCAAATACCCCATCCCTTATAAGCAAGATAAAGTGAAAATTAAACTACTTCAGAAACTTATGTTTATGGTTTATTTACATAAGTTAACAAGCTATGTTGAAGGAACCCTTCGAAAGGGAAGAGTGCTTTCTAGTATTATGCCATTCTTATGCAGATTTATATCTTGATTGATTGAGAATCATGGGGTATCACTTACTTCTTAATTTTAGTGTTGTCATGCTTAGGCACTGAAGGATGGAGACTCTTTCATGGACCTTGGCAAGCTCAGGGAAGCACTACCATTCTATGAGAAAGTTATGAATGAGTTGCCATTTCAGGTAATTTCTTGTACTACTTGGATATTCTTCAACACTTAAAAGCTGCAAAGTTGAGCATGTGTCATTTTTTCTCCCTTTCACTGATTCACATCATCAACAACAACAACAACAAAAAACCCAGTATAATCCGACAAGTGGGGTCTGGGTAGGGTAATGTGTACGCATATCTTACCTCTACCTGATGAAGATAGAGAGGTTGTTTCCGATAGACCTTCCGCTCCTTTTCACATCTTAAACCAAAAAAGAAGGAATTGTTTAGATGTATTTTTTCCAACTTCATTGTCTCTTATTTGAGTAACGGTGCCAACTTTATCCAGCTTTATCCAACTTCATTATTATGATGGAAGAGGCCTTAAACTAATTGATGTGCTTGCGCATAAGTAACAAGGACTAAAGTAATAACTTATACTTTTTTATGTTTTTTGAATGATGTGAAAACTTAAGATTTGTTTTCTTACAGAATGAATGCCCTGTTTCATGAGCCACTAGGATTACTTTGGTCTTACTTTTAAATGTCTTAACTTTGTGTTATCTTGTTCTTAACAGAAGCATAATACTTTGTGTTATCCTATTTTTAGCAGAAGCATAAAGTAATATAATGCAAACACGAAAGCAATTGGCACTTCTCTTCTCCAGTACATTTGACATTGAAATCTATGACATAATGTTTGTGCAGACTGAACTTCATGGATTAGCTGCACTGCAGTGGTCTATTTGTCAAGACTCGCTTCGTAGGTATGTCATCTGTAGCTAAGTTGCTCGGACACGGGTGCGGATCTAGAGATCGGATCCTTCGAGATGTAAATTCTAAGATTCAGGGATATGGATCCTAGTACGGATACGGGTGTAGGGATCCGATTAAAAATAATTCAAAAAAATACAACCACCCAGTAAAATCCCACAGGTGAGGGGTCTGGGGAGGGTAATATGTACTTTGACTTTGCCCCTGCCCGATAGGGTAGAGAGGCTGTTTCTGAAATTCAACAAAAAAAATAAAATAAAAATATCTTTAAATTATGAGAAATTTTGTGAAATAAATACGTAGCGCTTGTAAAGTGCGGATTTCTTTTTTATTCTCAAGTTGTAGATAAGTAAATGATTGATTTCGTAGATAACGTATGCTATTTTCTTCAAATTTACCCTAGTTCCAGTTCTGATTTCGGGAATCAAATTGTATCTTGTCTTGAATTTATCCGTCCGTCGTGGTCAAAGTACCCAAAATTGTTTGACCAGATCCGGTATGGATCCCATACCCACACCATACTAGTGTCGTATCGACACGAGTGCGGCATCTAAACTGCCATGTCGGAGCAACTTAGATCTGTAGTTCTCTAGTTTTCCAAGGGTTTAAATAAGTTCTTATGAAATGCCTGTCTTTTTCTGTTGTAAGAGTAGTTAAAGAATTTATGCTAAAGAATTCCAGCTCACCCAAGAGAAGAAAAAGGAAAAGAGAATGATGTTTTGCATTGTTCTCATATGCTTTCTATAAGGGGAATAACATACTGAATACTGATATGTCCATCACGTTTTGCAGCCATGCCCATATTCCTTACTCACTAAGCCATGACCTACTCTTTCTGACAATTCTAAAATATAACAGGGCTAAAACTCAAGAGTGTTAAGTGGAAGTATGGATGATTATATGTCTCTCTATCAAGATCAAGAGCTTAACACTTAAGTTAATTAAATGTTATGGACAGAAAAATCTCTTGTTACCGTGATGTTTCTGGCTAAAACTAAAGTTATATCAGCATGCACTGGAAAGTTTTCTTACATTATAGAATCTTTATAATATAAAAGATAGGTGTTAATCTGGTTATGTCAGAGTCCGAGAAATTGGAGCTCTAGAACTTTACTGTGGATTGACAATTGTTGCAGCAAACTTTCTGTCATTTCATGATCTCTATGATGTTTGAATGTTAAAACATTTAACTCTGAAGTTGCAGTTGCATTTTGGACCTTGTGCCGGCTTCTAAGACTGACCATTCAAATCCACATCATAATTGACAGGTCAAATGAAGCTCGTTCAATGTACGAGAAGCTTCAGTCTCATCCTAATGGTCAAGTGAGCAAGAAAGCAAGGCAATTCATGTTCAGCTTTCAGGTAATCCTTAGCTATTCGGGGAGTACAAGTTGTGTATCAAACTAGAGGGTAAAGACTAAACACCCATTGAAAGTTCAAGTTTAAAGTACAGTTGATTACAGCCAGGAATTTATACAGAAGGATTCAAACATAATGCTAGAATGTTATAGTTGGTATCTGAACCTGTGGCCTAAAGTAAATTTTGAACCACCTCTACCACTAAACTAGAATTTTCCCTTTTGTCGAGGGGATTCGACGTTTTATACATAACAACAAACAGATATCCTTAATTGCTCTACTTGTGCAGTATAATTTTCCGGCAAAGGGGATACAATTGAACCCCCTTCCCGTCACCTAGATAACATTGAAGCTCTCAGTATATCAGAATTGGACCATTGGCTTTTGGTTGGATCTTTTATAAGCTGGAAATTCATGATATATTTGAAATTTTTGATAAGGAAAATGTTTGCCTTGAGTACTCAAATTGTTTGTCTTGATTGATGGCAGGCTATGGAAATGATGAAGGTAACTGGCTCAACATTCTCTTCAATGAATCTTGGCTATCAGAATTATTTCAACGCCTTTATTAGGGATAAAGTAAACTATTCCTTAAAAGAGGATGAACCTGAAGAAGGTGCAATTCGACAGGCAATCCCGTACATTATATTTCTTCTTTTCCCTATTTTTATTGTGTTACTAATTGCTCTACGAAAGGGTGTATAAACTTTGTATTTAAATATCTTGAATGTCAGACAAGAATAACTTTGGAACTGAAATGCATGTTGCTCCCTCGTATATATGGTGATAAATTCGTTTGGTTTGGTAAAATCTTCACCATATGCATGAGCATGATTCCTTATGATAATACTATTATCATAACAAAAGAAAAAAAGTCTTATTTCTTAATTAAATAATTCATAAGAAAACAACACACAGATTAAAATATGATAAATGTTGGGCTGGTTGGGATATGACCCAAGTTTTAGCCCAACGTGACCTAATTCATTTCAGTCCAAATAACTTTTGAGGGGTTCATTCACCTACTCATTTATTGACTCAGCCTATTTCGACCCGCCTAAAATCAATCCAATCCACCCATTTGACACCCTAAATTTAACTGATACTTGTAGTTGTTTTAAAGTCAATCACTTGCACGCAATTATTGATACTTAACGCAAGATAACTGGTTATCCGCATTTGATGATTACATCAAACAATATAATTTAGCTTTAGCAATTAAAAATATTATAATTATTAGAGAAGTGTGTGTTCCATTGGACAGGTACTTTACGTTATTAATTTGGCATAAATACTAAATGCTCATAGTTTTTTACCAATTATATTAAAAACAAGATAAAAAACTATCTTGAAACAAATGCAAGGATAAAGAAAAAGAAAGAGTAGCTCAAAAGTAGTGTCAATTGTATGATTTATGCATGCATTTGACAAGACATGACAGCACCATGCTACTTCTATTAGGAAAGGACTTCGATTTATATCCACATTTTTCATGGGCGGTGCGCTACGAGTTAGGGAGAAAAAAGGTGACTACTTACATAATTGAGTTACATCACTATCTTGTCAAAATAATAATGAAATGCTGTAATTTTACTATTATCAATCACTAGTTTGGAGTAAAATAATGGAAGTTGATCCTCTAATTCTTATTGCATCATAGTTTGAACGAAACTAAACTTGCAAATTACTTTTTCTCCTCCCAAAACTAAAAGAGATGCTGATATAATAAGTTTATTCTTTTTGTTGGGTATGATAAATACTTCAGTTTGCAAAACTCGGTGACTAAAATGCATTTGAAATATATAAACAAAGTAATTCAACGTCAACTTTGTGTGTAGATAATAATTTTAAAATTTTAGATAACATTAAAATGATTACTGTCTTTATTTATTTGATTCTCAAAAAACAAATTATTTAACCTAATTTAAGAGTATGGAAGTTATTTGGCCATCAATTAAAAATACGGTTACAATATGTAAAAGCACTTTAATTCATCGCAAATATTCTTTCAACGAAACCAAATAAGTTCAATTATGTTACGTATAATCACTTCGTGGAGCCGTTTGATTGGGCAAATAATTTCTAGTTATATTCAGCATAGCTATTACTACATTGTTTGGTTGCTCGCATAAAAAGAATCAATCTCCTCCCTAAAATCAGCATAATTTGCACCTTGATTGTTTGTTTCTTATAAACATATTATTTTAGTCGAGATAAAATATAAAATAAGAATATTTATATATTAGCAATTTATGAACTAAAACTACTAAAATGACAAAGATGCCATTATCTATTCAGACTCATACGTCTTGTAATAACGTCAAACAAAAATAACTTTTACATTATTAAATTACTAATTTTTAAATTATAAATAAATCTCTACATTATCAATTCATGCCTAACTTGTTTACGAACTTAATAAAAATATCAAACATGATCATTATTCAAGAAAAAAACATTTAGCACTACTTTTTTTTTTCTACCTTAAAGAGAAAGCAAAGAGAAAAGAGGTGTGAAGTGTCTGGAAAAATCTGCTGTACCTAAAGACGCTCCTCCTTTGGGTGGGTGGTCCTACAACAGGCAGTTTTTTGGCCGACCATTAGCTTAATTCATTTTTTGTGACCATCTCCACTAACTTTTTTTTTTTTTTTTTTTTTTTTTTTTTTTTTTTTTTTTTTTTTACTTTTCAAAAAAGTAAAATATATTAAAAGACCCCTTGGATTTTCTATGGTCAACTAAATCACCCTAGAATACAAGATTTGTCTTCTCCATATTCTCATTTCTTTACTTTCCTTTATCTAATAAATAAAGCAAAAAGAAGACTCATCCACCATCAACATCATCCCTAATATTATATTTTCAAAAAGTTCTTCTACATGTTTTAGCTTTCTAATTAGAAAAACAATTTTTTATACGGTCTAATACTTGAAAATAAACGATTTGGGTATATTAAAAATCTGCATCATCAGCTAAAGTATACATTATGCTCCCTTATTTTATGCCATTATGGTTGGCCAACAAAGTTGATCTTTAACTAAATTCGTTACTCCTATCATTGTCATTTTTCTTTTTTAAAAAAAAGATGATTTTGTTTATAACTTGTAATTTATTTAAGCTTCAATATATCGTGAATTATTTACTTACAGAACTAACAAATCTCATCCCAAAATGGCAAGTTATTTTGCTGAAAAAAAAGCCATCCTTTACTGTATAAAAATTGAGGATACTTCAGTCATTTCATAAATACATTACACTGGAAATATGTAATGACTCATCACTTGATACTTTTAAGAAATTAAATCTCCGCGGTGCCATATCACATATGTTTGAGTTCCCTTTCCTTGTCACATATCACAATAATCCAAATACCAGGACGAGCATAAAAGAATCATCAAAGGTTGGAGTGGTTTAATAAATACTTCTCCGGCCTTAACTAGACGCTTTGGGTTCGAGCTCTAGATATAGAATCGCCTTTGGTAGAAAATATTTTGTCTCCAAAGTAAAATTTTCTGGTACAAATCCAAATTAATCGTAGTCCACGACAGTAAATGAAAAAAAGAAAAAGGAATGAGCATAAAAGAAGCCAAAAAGCACACAGGGCCCCATGACCTCCCAATTAGTGCAGGTCAGCATCTAATTCTTATCTTAACCTTAATATTATTAATAATTTCCCACATGACAAATCAAACACCAAAAAGCAATAAGCGCCC